ATCAGCCTTCCTGCAGCCCGTAAAATTGTCCTCCAGTTCATATCCTTTACTCTTGCCAAGGTGATTGTGTTTACAGGTACATCTACTCATTAACACCTTCCCTGTTCAGAGTTTTCGAAGGGCCTAAGGAAGAAAATCTGAAGTCTTAGTGTGGCATAAAAGGCTTTCCATGAACTGGCGCCTACCCATCCCTGCTCTCCAGGGAGGATGGTGACATCCATTTGCCCTCAGGATAAAATCCAAATGCCTTACCATAGCACACCAGCCTCTCACACCTTCCTGCCCGCCTTTCCAGCCTCACCCTTTGTCTATGCCCAGCCCTACTCACTGGAAACAAAAGAGGTCATAGTTGAATGATATAATACAGTAACATAAGTTATTTTGCTTCAAGGAATTCAGATGGCCAAATAATGACTGCTTTGCTGATTACCTTTGCAGGGCTTTTGCCTGAACTCTTTAAGAACAGGACTTTGAATGTCTGACAGTGGCACACACACACACACAATAGAGCACTTGTTAACTTACCCCCCCGCCATAATACTCCTGAAAAGTTGTGCTTGCTAGATATTTGAACCCTGTGCTAGTGCTCATTATTTGTAAAATAAATATTTTTAGTTCAAGCAGATATACCGTGAGTTTGTCCAGGCTAGCAGTGTCTAAGCCCCTACTCTGCTGAAAGTATAATCTGGGCTACTTCCCTTCCGTCAGAAGAGGTGAGAAATTGAGGACCCTGAGACGTTACATTGTAAAGTAGCTTGTTTTGTGTTCCCGAAGCTATCTTATTCTGTTAAAGCTGTTGTCTCAGTGTAGGTTTTGAATATACATACTTCATTAGAAAACTCATACTCGGTCTCTCACACACACCCTCACTCACTGCCTCGCTCTCTCCCGTTCTCGGGATCTGAAGTATTTGTCCTGGCTCTTCCCTCAACTAAAACTTTATTCTTTTAGTGAAGATTTGAAAATTTAAAACACCATCTCCTCCACTCCACTCGTCTGTGACTAACTTCAGGTTTCTGTCAAGGTTGGACTCGAGCCCTGCCCTCTTCCTCCTCTCCCATCCTCCCCTGACCCCCGTCCCACTCCTGCCGAGTAAGGGGCTGCTTTCCAGGGAGGGCTGTCTTAGCTCCCCTGCAAGCGCTGATTTGTGGTCCTTTCCATGCTGTCTTGGAAGGCAGGCTTATTTGTGCTTTTCCCTGGACTAGTGCCTCCTCCTATAGGGTAGCGTCCACAGCGGTCTGTGGAGTCCTGCTTCCTGGGCTAGAGCCCTGGGTACTTGTCCAGCTTCCTTGGGCTGCAGTTTACTTGATTGTAGAAAAGAAGGGGAAATAAAAGCACCCACCTCAGGGTGGTTCTGAGAACTAAATGAGTTAGTTCCATGTAATCTAGTTCACCTCTGCGTTCTGTGTTTTTAGTCCAAAAAAATTGATACCCATTATTATTATCAATAATCACTGTGTGATTGTGTACTAATCACAATCCTGTGCTTAGTACAGGCTTGGCACACAGTAGACTTTCAAATGTTTGACTATATCAATAAATGAATGTGCTTGTTCTCTTTATGAAGCACTTCTGTATATATTCACATTTTTGAAAATAGCCAATTAATGTAACTTAAATAAATGGAAATGGAAAAAATTGTATAATTAGATAACCTGACAATGACTTTATTTCAGTGAAGATTCGAAAATTTAATAAAGCCAAACCACAGCCTGATGTACTTGAAGAAGAAAAAGTCTATGCCTACCCCAGCAATATTACTTCAGAGACTGGATTCAGGTAAGCTTGGGGTGGGGAGTAATAGTCGACAGAAAGAGAATTAAGTTTCCCCCCCTCCCCGGAAATCTAGAAACCATGCTCCTTGGGGATTATGACTGTGCATATGTGCTGTTAGAAGTAGGTTTGATGGTGCTTCCTTTTGACAGTAGTGAAACTGATTCGAATGAAAGAATCTCATTTTGGAATATTGCCTTGGCTTATGTAACATGTAAGAAAAAGTGACGAAAGCATTATGCTGCACTTTCACTGGGCTTCAACTGGTAGGGACCCATTTGCAAAAAGACTAATGAGTATTGGTGACTGTGTGTAACCTATTAACATCTTGATTCTTTGCAGGACTATTTCAAGTCTAGAAGAAATTGTTGAAAAGCAAGGAGACATTATCATGTACCTGAAGCGACACAATGCCCTGTTGAGCAAGCGGTTGTTGGCTTCCACTTCCCCTGACCTAGGCTCTCATCCAAGTAGAATATGAGAGTTCAAGGTCAAGACAGCAATTGCTGAGGGATCCAGACTAAGTTAAGACTGACTACCTGACAAGCTGTCATAGCAAACTGCAGCTTTTGCCAAGTAACAGTTAACCATTTTCGTCGGAAACCTGAATTTGGTTCTCACCTGTGTGGCTGTGTGACATGTAGGGCTGTGGATCACGTGAAAAGTGACTTGTAGTCTTGGTAACTAAAGGAGAATGTCTTTCTTGCATATTTTGAAGTGATTTAACTACCTGGTTTATCCCAGGACCAACAGTGTAAACATCTGAGCCAACACTTCCATATGACCTAAGAGCCCTGTAATAATTTGGCTGTTTATAGAGGGAATCTGGCATGCCAATGAATTTAAAACAGGGATTTGATCATATAAGTTTTTCCCACTTTTAAACTGACAGGGAAGGCATTTGTGTTAATGTTCCTTCCCATGGAGCTTTAGCATATATTTCATATGCTTGTGTGGTATTGGAGGGCAGCTTGGCCGTTGTAGCTTTCATAAAGAATTTTTTCACTGTAGAATCATGTTCTCACTAGGTTATTATTGACTATGCAAACTCCTACAATTTTCCATCCTCCAGAAATAAGCTATGAAGGTTACTTGGGTCAGTGTCAGCCTGACCAGTGTTAGACTAACCGTCGCTGTTACATCTGTACAACCTTCTGGTGGCAACAGCTGAAGTACTTAGGAAACCTTCAACGCTCTCTTTATTTTTGCCCTTTCTTCAGGAAGTTGCTGTGTATTTCAGTATTGACTGTCCCGTCACTGGAGCAGTAAGTTCAGCAATAGGAAAGGGGTCTTCTTTGGCTTAAGTTTGTCTAAAAAGTAAAAAGGACACGTCTCTTAGGCTTGGATTATACTTAAAAATTATGACGGGAATAAAATGTCCTATCAACTTCTGTATCAGATATTAAACACATCTCATTCTCCGGATAAAGTGAAGCATTTTTAGGAGTAAATGGCATTACTTCTGTTTTCCTAGTGTGCCCCTTTATCAGTTGCTATTGGCACCATAACATGCCGCCGTAGAAACACTTTTGGTTGGGAGCTTAATATGAGGGGAGGGCATAAATTATGCTGCTAATTTATTTTAACATCTTTGGTATTTAGCTGAGTAATCAGTGTTTGGTTTGGAAATCCTTAACCTAGACACAACTGTCTGGCAAGGGACATAACCATTTGTAGCCACCACCACTCTTACTGATAGAGGGCAAACACCTGTATCCTTCAGATACAGTCATTGCGGGCATTTTGAGAGTTTTCTACTACAGTAAAGGTGGTGGTGTATCACCTGCAGGCAATACCATTGAATCCCCCAAATGACAAGATTCACAGACTAAAGCCAAACTAATTTTAAAGTTCAGATGATCTCCAAGTTTCCTGACTTTTCCCCCTCCCTTTTATCCTTTTTTTTTCCTTTGGCATGTCTCAAAACCATTGCCTTCTCTAGAAATCTGTCTCTATGACTTTGCTGTCAGCCATTTTCTTTTTCTTTTTAAGAAGATTTTATTATTTTAGAGAGGGGAAGGGAAGGAGAAAGAGAGGGAGAGAAACATCAGTATATGGCTGCCTCTCTCACGCCCTACTGGGGACCTGGCCCACACCCAGGCTTGTGCCCTGACTGGGAATCTGAAGCCGGGACTCGCTGGTTCAAAGGCCAGCCGGCACTCAACCCACTGAGCCACACCAGCCAGGGCAGCTGTTTTCTTTTTCAAAAGAAAGACACTGATGGTAGATGATTAATTCTTATTTATTTTTAAATTCAATGTGAATCTAGTCAGTTTCTAAGGTTTATGGGATGAACTTGGGTTTACAGAGAAAATGGTATAGTTCAAAAATGAGGATACTCAGGGTCTAATGTGTCGGCTCTGTGAACACCAGCATTCTTTAAATCTAATAACGAACATTTCAAACAATAAAAGAAAATGAAATTAAGTACTAGAACGAAGCAAAACAAAAGAATGACCAAAGCATTTTAAATATTGAGCATGCGTATAGGTGGGACAAATGGTGACGGAAGGAGGCCTGACTGGGGGTGAACACACAGTACACTATACAGATGCTCTGTTACAGAATTTTACACCTGAAACCTGTAGAATTTTATTAACCAATGTCACCCCAATACATTTAGTAAGAAATGAATAAAGTGATGGTTAAAAATGTTAAGCGTGCTGTTCATCAGGCAAATACTGTGCTAGCACCAAGGATATAACAATTTACTGAGATAGACCCGGTTTGTAGCTTACAGACGACTAAGCGTTTCTGGGCGAAGTGAAATAACAGCAGCAAGCCCGAAGGTGCTGTGGGAGTGCCCCAGAGGGGACGGAGACTGTAGGAACTCCAGGCAAATTCGTGAGTAAAGAAGCAGGGCGGGCAGCTACAGAGGACCGCAAGTACCGTGTAGAGCTTGAACCAAGTGTGTGGCAGGACATGGGGGAAGAGGTGGGCAGCCTCAGATCTTGGAAGGTCTTAATGCTGTCTGTCCTGTGTTGCTGAAACAAAAGGAAACTTTCTTCTTGAGGGGTACAGCTGTTGTGGGGGGATTGTATTTACTGTCATGTTAATATGATACCCACCTTCCAGGGGGAGGTAGGAGACAATGTATTATAGAATTGTACCCCCAAAACCTATGTAATTTTATTAACCAATGTCACCCAGTAAATTCAATTAAAAAGGAAAAACCCACCTTCCATTAAAAAAAAATTATGAAACTGGCCCAGCCTATTAGTAATGTTTCATTCACTATCTATTCCTGTACAGATTCTAAGATGATCTGAATCATGCCCCACAAAGAAATAAGGCCTAAGAGGTCTATTAAAAGTGTCCGTGAAAGTACAGATATGGGACTTGTCAGTCATGTTGTAAAATGAGACCTCACCCATCTCACAGTCCAGGAAGATGCCAATGCCTGTGAGTTTCACTTCCGACAAAAGAGGGGGTCTGCCAGCTCCTGGGGCATCATAGCTGTCTCCCTGCCGCCGAATGCTCCAGCATCCCTGACAGGCCGATGGGCTTCTCCTCGCCTTTGTAGAAAGAGAGTCTTTGCAAACCCCAACAGCCCATTTGCATTTGTCTCCCACTTCTACTTCCCAGAAATGCCTGCCAGAGTGAAAAAATGGAAAACCCAGGACAACTGTGTTGACTGTAAATCTTTTTGGAAAATCTGGAACGTTTTGTTTTTTCTTTGTGTATCTCACACATTTTTTATCCTCAGAGACAATCAAGTTAGGGTGTGCCGTTTCAGGGTCCAGGATAACATCCACTCTAAATTTCTGCACAATTTTCTGCAGAGCAGAATACTGGAAAGGAAAACTGCAGCCTTCCTTCCTTAACTGAACTGAAAAGACTGATGGACTGTACTCCTCGGAGTTCTTGTAGAAATTTTTAATTTCTAATAGCAGTTCCACTTCGGGCAGCACACTGCTCTGTGTAAGCTTACTCAGTAGATGTTTGAGTGTGGAATTGTACTCGGAGAATGCAGTTATATTAGCACTGAGTTTCCTTTGAATAGCCTTTTCTTCATCAGCTAATCTTGAAAGAACTGCTTCTTGATCATGTTCTAAAAACTGCCGCAGGTGCTCAAATTCAGAGAGTAATTCCAGCCTTTGGTTTTCCACCTTCTCTCTCAGTTCTAAGGTTTTTTTGTTTTGGATGCTCATTAATTTCTGAACGTCTGCCATCTGCTTCTTGAGGGGCTCAATGTAACTGCTGAGCCTTTGCCTGTGATGGGCAGCAGCCTCCTCCATGGGCCTCACCTGGTGGCCCTGATGGTCGGGGGGCTGAGTGCACAGGGGACACAACACCTCTAGGTCCTCCTCACAGAACAGGGTCAGGACCTGGTTGTGCTTCTCACACAGGTGCCTCTCTTCCTTACGCTTCTTGCTCCTGCTGATCTGGAGGAGCTTGGCAGTGTCAATCATCCTTCCCAGCTGGGTGTTGCTCCTCAAGTGTCTCTCTTGGCACAGATGACGGCACACAGGGCAAGGCAGTCTGTCCTGCAGATCAGCCCAGGACTGCTGGATGCAGGAGCGACAGAAGTTGTGGCCACATTCGATGGTGACAGGGTCTCTCAGGTTATCCAGACAGATGGGACAGTTGACTTCTGCCTGGAGTCCTGCCAGAGCTGCTTCAACTGCCATGGAGCCCTGCATGATGGACTGGACTGAGGCGGGTTTTCTTCAGGAAGCTGGGCTCTGCATGTAAGAAGTGGATATCCCCGAAAATCTCAGTCCTCACTTTGCTGGTAGCCTATAAAGTCCTGAGTTTTCAGACCTTTTAATTCCAGCTGCCAAGAGGAGCCCCTCCCACAGCCTGCAGCCAGTCACGGCTTGGCTGGACAGCTGCTCCTCCAGAATTTGGAAGCTCAGCAGGAATTAAGCAGCTTTCTTGGTCAGAACAGTGGTTTGTTATCTCAAATAATAAGTTGCTGTGGGTGAGAAGTGATTCCTTATTATTTTTTTTTTTAAGAAAGAAAAACCACCCTGAGTTTCTTTCAAGGGGTCCCACTACCACATTCCAGTCAAACACAATTGTCCTCTCCTAACCCCAGTCTTTCCTTCTCCTGCCTTTGTCATTGTGCCCTATCTACTCCTACCCTCTGGGGACCCCCACCCCCCATCCCATGTACCTCCCCCTCACCCCACATGGGGCCACGGAAAGGGCACAGGCTCTGGGACAGACAGATGTGCCACACCCAAGTTAAAGTGCAGCCTTGGTCACCTATCCATGTAACCGGGGAGAGTTTATTTTACATCCTGCAGGGGTGCAGAACATTCCTCCTCCAAATATGCCATTTTGGGTGTGGGTTATTTTAAGCTGAAGGCGATCAAGACTCAATAGACTCTGGAAAAGCCTTTTAGCTCCTCCTTCACTGCCCCCTCCCCCCAAAATATAAAATTTCCCCATTTGTGGGAGGACTTAGCAATTACAAAGAAAAGTAACATTAGAAAGGGGGCCTTTCTGGCAGGAAGAGAGCTCTCACCGGAGATAACTTTTTCACCTAAGAAGCTCCTGCTTTAACAGGACAACCTCTGCGTGCTGAAGAGTTCCTCCTCTCGCCTTCCTGCGAATCCCCCAACCCCAGGCCCCCAGCCCGCCAGCCCTTTCCTCACCTCAAGACGAAGTCTCAACTGTCTGGCCACCCATCTGAGTCTTGAATCTTTGTGAAATTTCTGCATGTAAAAAAATGTAATTAAGATTTTTTTTAATCTTGTTAATCTATTTTACGTCAATTTAATTCTCAGACCAGCCACAGGCCCTAGGAGTGTAAAAGGGAAAATTTTTTTTCTCCCCTGCAATTCCAAACTTAAGAATCAGGTACTTAAGAATAATAATATCACTATACATTTTTGTCTTATGAGAATACAGAAATTAAGGAAACCCTCATCAATTTTGAAGCTTGAAACAGAATTTATAATGGCTCAGAATTCACATTTACCAAATTTAGTTTGCTTTTTTTATATCCTTGCTTCTTTACATGTGTTGAATAAGGAAATTCAATTTTCCCTGTACCCTCCTGGCGTCTTAGCTGAGACATCTCTGTGAATAACATATACACCCCCTATACACATGCAAGAGACCCAGGAAAACGAGCTTCCTGAAATGGCCTGAGCCATCACCTTAAATATTGTCTTCATCTGAAGACAAGATGTGGGGGGTGGGCCAGTTATGGGAGCTTCTCCAGCAGAGTAAAAAAAGGTAAGGTTGATAAGCAGATTGAAGTGGGTACCTGCTCCATTGATAAAGAGTTTCTAGAGCACTGGCATCATCCTCTTCCCAAAATGGAGAGAAGTACCCTTACAAATGGAGATTTCCCTTATAAACATAAATCTCCCTTACAAAAGAGCAACTTCTACACAGTTTTCAGAGATTCTCGTGGGTCAGTAACCTTTCAAGAATAATCAGCCGCAAATAATCCTTATGTCCCAAAGAACCCTTATGGTGTGACCTATTCTGCTCCCACAAAACAACATGCAACAAAAGCCTCATTTGTGAAATGAGATCCAGGAAATAAATAAAACTGGGAAAATCTTCCGCATTTACTATTTATCTCTAAATCAAGAATACCTACAAGAAGGTAAAACAAACAACTCCCCATGAAGAAAAACAAGCAGAGAAGCAATGATTATGGAAAAATGCAGAAACTTAATAATCTAAGAATTACAAATCTGCCCCTTTTACTAAGCTAATTGTATTGGTAAGACTGAAAAAATCATTAATGCACTGTTCTGGCTTTGGGTGGTAGCTATTTGAGCACTATAGACAATTGAAGCAGAAAACTTTTTTTTTTTAAGAAAGTAATGCTGAACTATCCATCAACAACTGAAAAAATTTTTGCTTTGCTCTTGTAATTCCACTAACACTATTTCTAAAAACCATATGTTAAGAACAAGAAAACATGCCCAAATATAAGTGACTTATACTAGGCCCCAAGTCATCAAACCAAGATTCACCTCTCCCAGAAACGGAATCTCAAACCAGTCAGTCAGTCAGGAACCAGCTGATGGGCACCAGCTGATGGCCAGCAGCCAGAGAGGCCCCTGTGACACCCTAAAGGAAAGGAACCTCAAAATAGCTGACCAACTGACTTCTTGGCCTACTACAGCTTCCTGTTCCCTTCAGCCTATAAAACCTTTCCTTTTGTACAGCTCCTTGGAGCTCCTTTCTGCCTGCAAGATTGTGTGCTGCTCCATCGAACTGATGAATAAAGTCAATAAGATCCTTAAAATTTGCTCAGCTGAATTTTGTTTTTATAACACAGAGAGCACTTGAACACATACTCAGAAATATACACACAAAAAAGAAAAAGAACAAAAAGAGATGTATTCAAAGACATTCTCTTTGGTACTGGTTTCAACCTCAAAAATGTGGAAACATTGGAAATATGCATTGTCAGTATTGGCTGAATACACTACATTACAAACATGTTCAATACATGCTGTTCAAGAAGCTAGAGCCGATTTTAAAGAAAGATGGTAGGGCCAAATGTATTGATATAGAAGGAGGCACACACTACATTGTAGGCTGAAAAAAGCAGGTAACTGCTCACTCCACTTCAGTCCAGTCCCTGCTGTTGTCTCTTCCCCCTAGACCACTGGACTACAGTATTCAGAATTTTGTATTTTAGAAAATGAATGTACTACATAGACCATGTATTATATAAATGTCCATGGGATGACACAGGGAAACACTTCCTAATTAAGCACATTAATACTTACAGAGCAGAATGTGTGTTCAGACCAAGTGGGATAATTAAAGACTATAAAAAGCTTCATGTCAGGTGATATTTTGCCAAATACATTGGCACCAAATTTATCAAAAACTTGTTATACAGCAGTTTAGGTTTCAGACTTGGGGGCTATGCAGGATGACCCTGTGACCCAGAACTAGTGTCCACCAGGCCATTCCTGCCTGGCTGCACAGGTACAGGGTTAGAATGTGCCCAGTTTCCCCAGATCCTTCACGGAGCCCACGAGACGCCTCGTGGTCTGTTCCTTACCTGGCACCAAGCCCACTCTAGGCTGACTTCAGCCCCAGTTCTTCCATCACTGGCCCCAAGTTGACCTAACTCTGGCCCCAGAGTTTTTTGGGGCGTGGGGGATGGGGCATGGGGGTGTTAGAAACACCTTATTTCAATTGTCTGTAAAAAGTTTCTCCACACACAGTACAAAGTAGGTACAACTTTCATTTACTGACATAACTGTATTCTCTCAAGGCAGCTTGCAAGTACCACCCCTTTGTTTTTAATTGAGATGTAATTGACCCCAGGGTATTTGAATACTAATGACCTGAGCCCAGGAGATCTCTCCTCAAGCGAGTCCCTCCTTAGCTCCTCCTCTTCCTTCACAGCTCACACGCCCCACCCCCAACATCCAATTTTAAGGTTCAGTATCACACACACACTTTCTATAAAACTTAATCATTGTAGTGATGTTCCACACTAACCACCAAAACATTCAGCCTGTATCCTTCTTTCTTATTACTGATCCTTACCCATCCAGCTCAGGGCCTGGCACCTAATAGGAGGTCATTAAATATTTGTTGCGTTAGGTTCCTGGTGCTCCCCCATATACTTTGTGGCTTGGGGTAAACTACTTAGCCCCCTACAAGAAGGCAGTCTGGTTGGAGTACGGGAGATCAAGGCCATAAAGGGCCTGAGAATTGGAGATAGGGGCCCTGTAGCTCTCATCCCTCCACTTCCCCAACTACCAGAACCTCCCCGCTCACTGAGACACCCCGGATTTCACACTTGGCCTCAGACCAGCACCACCCAAGAGCTTAGTCACCACAGATATTGCTCCTCGTTAGGTTAGGGTGGAATCTGTGTTAGGGTGGAATCTGTGTTTTATTTGTTTTTCTTTTTTAAGATTCATTTATCTTAGAGAGATGGGAAGGGAAGGAGAAAGAGAGAGAGAAACATCGATGTGAGAGAGACACATCAATCGGTCACCTCTCACACGTGCCCCAACCAGGGCCCAAACCCACCACCCAGGCATGTGTCCTGACCAGGAATCAAAGTGGCGACGTTTAGCTTTGCAGGACAATGCCCAACCAACTGAGCCATACTGGTCAGGACTATGGATCTGTGTTTTTAATAAATATTGCAGGCAGTTGTAGACGAGGCTTTTTGAGAGACCGGGAAATGTAATACACGGGATGTGTTTTGAAATAAGCCAAACCTGAGTCTGGATTCCCTGGCAAGGCATGATCTCTCTGGGGCCTCAACAACCTCCTCCGGAGGCCAAGCCTCTTACCACACTCCAGCGTCCCGCACCCACGTCCTCCCGTCTCCCGGCTTACCTGGAGCGGGGGAGCTCTGGACCAGAGGCACTCCGCCACAGATCCTCAATCAGTGTGGGAAGCCGCACACTGGACCCAAACCAGAGTATAAGGTAGGAGGGTGTGGCCATGAGGACTCCGCCCAGCAAAGACCAGTTCCTTTAGGAAATGGGAGGAGTAGGAAGGGGGAGGAGGATGGAGGGGAAGGAGGGTGTGTTTCCTGTAATTACAGTGAGTACTTCTGTGTCCTTGGCCCCGATCTAAGCACTCTGGAGTCTTCTCCGTCATAACCGTGTAGGACCGTTTCTGTTATTATTCACGTTGTCTTAAATGAGCAAACCAAGGAAAGACAAAGAGATCTCAAAAAGAGATTTCAATCCAGACCTGCTAGCCTGGTTATGGTTGTTTCTTGACAGAAAGTTAACACTGAGGGAACCCATATGAAACAAGCAGTGGTTCATAGACGTCAATTGTGTTTATAAGGAAATTCTTAAGACCTAAACTGTTTTCTCTTTATCTGATACATATAGAACAGAATTTAAACGGATTAAGTTGTTATACTGATATTATCCTATTCTCTCTACTTTTCATAAACTTTTAAATTTGCATAACAAGATTAAAAAGGTTTAACTTGGGAGAGAAAAGGTTTAGTAGCTGAAAATATTTTTGTGTTCATGTGAATCCAGTATAATATATGGTGGAATCCTGTAGGAAATAATATTGTAGATATGTTGTATTCTTCAGCTACCCTGATATAAGATAAATGACAAGAGTGAAATATGTTATTATTGGTAAATGCTGGTAGGTTGTAGGCAAAAAAAAATTTTTTTTTCTGAAAAATAAAGTAGGAATACCATTCACATGCTACTGTAAAAGCAAATACTAATACTCCTTTTTTTAAAAGACTTTATTTATTTTTAGAGAGAAGGTAAAGGAGGAAGAACGAGAGGGAGAGAAATATTGATTGCTTGCCTCTCACACGCCCCTCACCGGTCACCTGACCTGCAACCCAAGCATGTGCCCTGACCAGGAAGTGAACCAGCAACATTTTGGTCTTCTGGACCGTGCCCAACCCACTGGGCCACACCAGTCAGGGCAAATACCAATACCCTTAAATGTCTGCCAGTAAATAAAAGGCAAAGCCCAACATAAAATAAAGTAAGTTCAATAAATTCTTACATAGTTTTATTATTCTTTAAATTCTATCAATGTGTTTTAATCCATTTTTGTCTTTTTTCCCTTATTTCAGTTCTTGTTTTAATCCATTTGATATGTACATCTTCTTTTCATAACTAAAGTAATATATGCACCACAGTCAAAACTGATGTAAATCAGAAGTAGAATAGAAATAGGTTTAAATGTTAGGTCCAGGGACAGAAAGGCGTCAGCCAGTTTAACCTAGTAAAGACGTGGAGACAAGTCTCCCAGCAGTGGGAAGGAAATGGGAATTTCTTACTGACTGCTCCAAATCAAAAATGTAAAAGCTATTAGGCCCCCAAATTAACCAACCACGGCAATCTGTTCTTTATGATGGATATAATAAAGACTGACCTTTTTCTGTCAGTTGTGTCAAAGTATATGTTAAATCATCTCACCTGATTTTCATAATTAGTGGGCATGATAGACATTCACCTCTATTTTTGGGGTGAGAGTTTAATTTGGGATACCCCTTGAGTAATAAGGAAAGCCCTATTATGTATAAAGGGCAGCAATTCTGCCTGACCTTTGCCTTGGGGGAGACGTTACTTCATCGTACTGGAAGTAAACAAACCTGCCCTTTGCTTTATATGGAGACACCATCTCTGTCTTCCAAGGCTGTTCTCATACATACTGTTCCTTGAAACTATTGTCTGGACCACTGAGTTCCTTTCTCCCAAAACAGCAGAAACTTGAGACCCACTGAAAACTATCTCCCCACAATTGTTTTTCCCCCACTGGCAATGTGTAAGGTAATTATGAAACACGTAAATGCATAGGTGTAGGAAATAGGTAGATTTTCACAAATTTATTGCAGCCATGAAAGTACAATTTAGACACTTTATTATTAGAATTTTGGTAACACTATTTGTTAGTTCCCACATCTCTATTGCTATTGAAACAAAATTTAAAAAATAGAAAACCAAGTAAGAAAAACTTTCTTCATATATGTTTAGTCAAATAAGCATTAAAAAAACTTTTTGTATTGGTGCTGGAGTCACTGATAGCTGCACAAAATTCTAGCTACTGTCCATGCATCATAGGAAAATGAGGCAAAGTCACAGGTCACCTTCGTAATCTCTTACAGAACAGACTCTCAAAGGTTTAGGATCACATCCAATACAGAAGTAAGGCTTTAACACTTCAGAAAATTTATCCATGAAAGAATGGATGTGAGACCTGTCATTCAAACTGTAAAATGAAATCTGCCCCAACTCATAGTCCAGATAGATGCCAATCCCTCTGGGATTCTCCTTTAGCACAAGGATGACGGGAAAAGGCCCTCGTGCCACATAATCACCATTATGCAGCTGAATTATCCAACATCTGTTTTGTCCAGGTGGGGACTGCTTTCTCTCCCTGGTGAGGGAGCCTTTACAAACACCCACAGCCCACTCAGGCTTGTCATCCACCCGGACCTCCCAGTAATGTCGGCCACAATCAAACTCTTCAGAACCCAGGACAACTGGGTCAATCATAAATCTCTCTGGATTCTGAGAAACTCTTTGCCTTTTCCTCACAAATGTCACCGACTTTTTATCCTCAGACACAAGCAGATTAGGATGTGCTGTCTCAGGATTCAGAGTAACTTCTTCTCTAAATTTCTCTATAATTTGCTTCAGGGCCGAATACTGTGGGGGAAGACTGCACCCCTCTCTCCGAAACTGGACGAAACACATTGCTGGAGGTTTCAGGCTTTCACAACTGTGGAGGACACTCTTGATGTTGGTCAACAATTTCACATCTGACATCACACTCTTTTCTGCCACCACCTTTAGTATACTGTTTAGGTTGGAAATGTGGTCTGCAAATGCAGTTGTGTTTGCACTGAGTTTCTATTGAATATCCTTCTCTTCTTCAGCTAACCTTGAAAGAACAGCCTCTTGCTCATGTTCTACAGATTGTGTGAGGAGCTCAAATTCAGTGGCTAGCTTCCTTCTCCGGTTTTGCACTTGCTCTCTCAGTTCTAACAGTTTCCTGTCTTGGGTGGTTATTAGTTTCTGAGCATCTGTCACCTGCTTCTTGAGGGGCTCAATGTAACTGCTGAGCCTTTGCCTGTGATGGGCAGCAGCCTTCTCCATGGGCCTCACCTGGTGGCCCTGGTGGTCGGGGGGCTGAGTGCACGGGGGACACAACACCTCTAGGTCCTCCTCACAGAACAGGGTCAGGACTGGTTGTGCTTCTCACACAGGTGCCTCTCTTCCTTACGCTTCTTCTTGCTCCTGCTGATCTGGAGGAGCTTGGCAGTGTCAATCATCCTTCCCAGCTGGGTGTTGCTCCTCAAGTGTCTCTCTTGGCACAGATGACGGCACACAGGGCAAGGCAGTCTGTCCTGCAGATCAGCCCAGGACTGCTGGATGCAGGAGCGACAGAAGTTGTGGCCACATTCGATGGTGACAGGGTCTCTCAGGTCATCCAGACAGATGAGACAGTTGACTTCTGCCTGGAGTCCTGCCAGAGCTGCTTCAACCGCCATGGAGCCCTGAATAGACTGGCCTGAGGGGGGTTTCTTCAGGAAGCTGGGCTCTGTGAGATCTCTCTGCTGAGAGGCAGATGCACACTCAGATCTCACTGTCCTTCCTGTCCTGAACCATTCTTTCCTATGAGACCACTGGCTGCAGGTGTCCAGGGGAGCTCCATTCACCACCTCCAGCTGATCACAGGGTAATTGAATCCAAGCTCAGCAATTCTTTTTGGTTAGAAAGCAGACATGGCACTAAAGTAACTATTTGTTCCTGGGGAGGAGAAAATATTGTTGCATGTTAAAAAGGCTACTGTTTGTCTTGTAGTCCTGCTCACTGCCACAGTCGAGGCAACCACTGATGTGTGTCTCTCTACCACCACTATCCAGCTCAATGCAAGTCAACACAAAGGTGCTGCATGGGACTGTGGCAAATGGATAGGTTTGGGACCAGATCGTCTACACCTGGGTCAGCCTCCATCCTTAGTGACCTACCATCTGGGAAGCCTGGGGAAAGTCACTTAACATTCTTATCCCCAAGAGAATCTAGTAAACAAGAATAAAATTCCCAACTTCAATCATCTGAACCTTGTGAAAAACCTAAGAAAGGGATTTGCACTATTTGGTTCAAAGCGGTTATTTTTGACAGCACTGAATTCATCGTATATCAAAGTTTACTTGTTTTTCCTTTAAGCTTCTCAACTGCAGGATATATCCAGCTGGTACAGAAAAGTGAATGGGATTTGAATTAGATTAAATTTATTCTTGAGGACCCTCCAAGTCAAAAAACTGATTTTTGTGTGATGCTCAGAATGAATAAAATTGGAGATCAGGATTTAAAAAAAAAATTTAAATAGTTCATTTAAAAATTTTGTTTCCAGTACCATTTATCTCCTTTATACCCTCTCCCACCTCCCGCCAGCCCAGGGTTTCAATGTAAACTGAAGCAGGGGAGCATCTGAGATCTTGCTTTCCAGCAACTGTCATCAGTTTGGCATTTCAAACTGCTGAAGCGAATTTCAGAGTGGTAAAATAAAAAACATTCATATATACAGCTGGTGAGACTGCAAGTTGGTACCACCACTTCAGAAAACTATTTTGCATTATGACCTGACTTTGAACATGAATATACTTTAGGATGCAGTTATTCTACTCAGGTTATATAATCACCAGCCATATGAACCAAAGGGAATAAAAATGGCACACAGAAGCCCATACACAAGGTTCACGGCAATATTTTTCACAGCGGGCCTATCTATGGTGGCAATAACCCAGTGTCCTACAACATTTGATTGCATGAATGGATTCTGGTGCGTTTATACAATGGGTCAGAATCAACAATGGAATGGCCGTATCTCACAAATGTAATGTTGTGTGAAGAAAAGCCAAGGCACAGTAACTGAGAGTGTGTGGGCAGAAAATACTATTTCATGACCCCCTGGCAATGGGCAAGGAGACACCCGATCGGTGATGTTGCTCTTACATCAGTCAGGGGCAAAGCAGACATACAGTTATTAGGTCATCCTAGCTTAATGCCTGTGTTGGTGGCCAGAGCTGTTTCATGCCTGGGGCACAATGAAAAAACAAAAAAATCTACTTTACAAGTTGGTCAGCTTCAGCTAATGTTTGGGGAGGAGGGACAGGCTAGTGATTGGGAGGAACATGAGAAAGCCTTCCAGGTGGTGGTAATAATTGATTTCGTAAATGGGTAGTGGTGTAGAGTTACAGGCCCACGCAACTACCTGTTTGTAAGTCTATTAAAAGTAAAAGTGATAATAAAATTGTAGTTTACAAGAGTAAATTATGGTAAAATATTTTAATTCTCTTTGAGAAAGCCATCTGTATGACTGAAAATCAGAAAATTGATATTTTGTCAAACCATATAAATAGCTCCTACACAGAGAAACTCAACCAAACCATAGTGGATATAAAGATGGGTAATGGAGATTAATCATAGAAACAAATGACCGATCATGAAATCAAAGCAGGTCATTTTGAAAATTCCAGCCCTGGCTGGTGTGGCTCAGTGGTTTGAGCATCGGCCTAGTGATTGGGAGGAACATGAGAAAGCCTTCCAGGTGGTGGTAACCAAAACTTTCTGGTTCAATTGCTGGTCAGGGCACATGCCTAGGCTGCAGGCCAGGTTCCCAATTGGTGACAGGAGAGAGGCAACAGATTGATGTTTCTCTCTCATACAATGATGTTTCTTTCCCTCTTTCTCCCTCCATCCCCTCTCTCTAAAAATAAATAATTAAAATCTTTTTAAAAAATAGAAAAAAATCCCAGAGACATCAAAGTGATCAACAAGAGACCTTGTTCTTTGTACTACATGTGACTGCCATGATTTAAAAAGACTCGAGTGGAGCTGTCAGGCCTGAAATCCTGGCACCCCCATTCATGGCCACGTGACCTTGGACAAGTTAGGAAGGATTTATGGAGAGGAAAATGTGCCTAGCAGCCAGCCCGGCACAGAGAAAGTACTCAATGGTATCTAGTAATACCCAGACTTTCCATATGTCTTTTGTGGTCACCACTGCACCTCTTGACAAAGCTACCATCTGGTCCCTCTGGCTACCAGAACTTCCCTCCAACTGCCGAATCCATCAGCATTCACTGGGGGAGGCCTCCCCTCATCTATCCTCCAATGGCAGGAATCTAATGACGACCCTCCCCTACAGGACTGCTGTTCCCACCTCCAGACCACAGTCCTTCGCTGAGCTCCGGCTTCTACCAGCACCAAGCTCTCTGCACCTCTCACCTTCCTTCCCTTTTCCAGCAGGTTCAGCTTTCCCCGATCCAGTACCTTGTACAACAGATCCCCTTTGTTGTCTCCAGTGCTTTCAGCCAGCTCCCAGTTCATTTGTCCCTTCTTTCTGATCCCAGCTTCCCCTGAATCCGTGATGGGTCACTTCTCCAACACAATGTTGGAGAACAGTAAGGACAGGATTGTGAATTCTCCCTTTAACTCTATGACTTCTGCAAACTCACACAGGTTTTGGAGATCTGTACTCCTGTGGAACTGTAACCATGTTATCTCTGCCACGATTGTTATCTTAGTCCCTGGCCTGATTGCCTATGTAATGACTAAACTCTGCCCAAGCTCCTGGGTGTCCCACTTAAACTCGGTGTGCTGGACTACCTACTTAAACACTCAAGAGTGTCTGCAAGTAAGCAGATGATGAGATTAAGGAAGACCAAATTGACACAGGATTTAAGCGTTAGGCATATCAGGGCCAAGACTCTGCTCTCTCCACTCACCTCCTGTACACCAACCAAATGCCCCCACCTATCCCCACTGAACACAAACCCACTGTCACTGAGACGTCCTAGAAGGGGTTCCATAGGTAGCTGCAGACCAGACCCTCTGGCGCTTTGTCACACACAGGTATTAGTCACCCATCAGGTCAGGCTGGGATCTTGGTTTCTCTATTTTTAGCAAGCATCTGGATGGCTTAAGACAAGGCTCACTGAGGAACCCAAACCATAATAAAAGCATGGATTCCCTTGTGAAGACTGTCAAGGCCTTGCTAGAGCTTGGGCTCAGGAAACCAAGGCTCCTGCCTCCTGTCCCCACCTCACCCCCACCTCACCCCCTCTCCCAGTTCACCTGGAACTGGCTGCTGTGGGTGCCTCTGTGAGATCGATCTCTGAGGACACTCACCATCACTTTATCACACACAGAAATTCCCCTTTCCAGCCCCTCAAAGCTCAGATCTGGGTATCCACATTGTTACCAAGCATTTCAGTGATTTAGGACAAGGCTCTGAAAGGACCCAGGAAACCATAATAAACCTCATGTTTTTTATTTTTTATAAGTAAGCCAAACCCCACAGAAAATATTAGTTAATAATGTAATAACTGTGTGTGGTGTTGAGAGTACTATGCTTATGGAATATCATTTCATAAGGTGTATATAAATGTTTAGCCACTCTGCTGTACACCTGGAACTAATAATGACAACTGTAATTGAAAAATAAATACAAATAAATAAATAAAATAAACCGAACTCAAATTTGGATTCCCTTTCGAGGTATGATGTCTTAGCCTGTCTTAGCTGGGCACAGAGCAGATCCCAGGAAGCCACCCATCTTACCTCCTGCATCCACAGGGTCCCATCTCCTAACTCACCTGAGCCAGTGGCCCTGGGCAGGTAAGTGTGGTTGCTGACACCTGTCTGCTAGAAAAGTCTTTGAAGTCAGTCTGACACCAGATCATGTGGTTGGCACTGTAACCCTGACATATATATACATACACACCACTAGGAGAATGGGGGTATTAGGACCCCGACCACAACCACTAGAGACCACAACCACTAGAGACCAGTGGCTTCTCCCTGGCTGAGGAAGGGGTGGGCCAGGGTGGCAATGTTATAGGGGGCCCCAAAAAGGGATTTGGAATGGGGTCCAAAACTCAAGGTGTCCAGGAAATATTAGGATGTGCTCACCCCTTCCCCCACAGGTGTGAGCTGGGGGAAGGGACAAATGGAGCAGGGCCATTGAGAACTGTTTTGCATAGTAATAGCTTTGCAGCTAACCTCTGGCATGGTCATTTAACATATCTATAACCTTTAACTGGTTGCATAGATATGTTAAATAGCTGTGGCCATGCTCTGAGCCAAGGAGGATGGAAGTAACTTCCCCCAAGATGTAATTGAGAGGCAACTCCCCCTAGTTACAGCACCTGTGTGAGAGCTTGGAGATGACTGGCTCCATGACATGGGGCCATGCCTGCCCAAACTCACAATGGCAGCCCAGTGAAGCTGGAAGGATATGAGAGTGCTGGCAAGTGTAGCCAATTGTGGGAGGAGTCGGAAATGGGGCTGCAGAGGGAGATTGGCGTGAGGATTTAAACCTAGACTCGGCAGCCATTGGAGAGAGGACCACAGCCACTAAGGGGGGAGAACCACAAGGCTGTGGCAGTACAGAGGGAGGACCATAGCCAGTGCTGGAGAGAACCACTCAGTTTTAGCAGAGTGTAGACTCTCTCAGTCCTGAGAGAGAATTGCCATTTGGTTG